CTGTCATTGTACGATTCTAACCTAGGAATTTTGGTGTAAAAGGAAACCAATTACTCTTTTGGGAGCCGTCACTTTTGTAGGCAAGTTTTGGAAAGTTTCCTTGGAAACTATCGCTTCTTCCTCAAGAGCAAACCCTCATATTTTTCATCTTTGAGTTTTCCAAATTGATTTTTCGAAAACTGCATTTGAAATATGAAAACCTCATCTTGCTAGATCAAACACTCTCTCATATATATATCTAGGTCAGATTCAAGATTGATTTCTTTAAGACTATGGTTTCTTGAAGAAATTGGTCATTCTCCTTTGAATCCAAATTTGGTTTCTGTTTGAGTTGGAGCCATTGGTCATTCTCCTTTGAATCCAAATTTGGTTTCTGTTTGAGTTGGAGCTTGCAAGCTAGTGCCATGGGATGAACGAGCTGAAGAAGGAGCTGCCATTGCCATGAAGAACTTAGCTTCAAGCTTTGCTAAGTTGGAGAAGAAGATTGCACAAAGGAGGTATAGCTCATCTTCCTAAATAGATCTAGGTTTTGCTTGAGCTTGCTTGTATTCCTTTGTAAGAATCTTTTTCTACTTAGTGGATTGCCTAGTCGGTTGATGACTCCCAGTTTTTCCCAATAGTGGGTTTCTGGGTAAACAAAATCTGTTTTGCATATCTGTAAATTTTTCTGGGTTTGTGTTCTTGGTGTTTGACTAGTCATCTATATTTGCTGTTTGCTGTTTACTTGATATTGATGACTTCACACACTTTCACCATAGTTGTTGCTAGCACAGGGGATGCCTAGATTGATGGGTCCTTCTGAGTGCCTAAGTTGTCACTAGTAATCTTCTAGGGCTGCAGGTACCTTGTGGCATGCTATGTGTGTTCTCTTGATTGTTGTGTTGTTGTGTCTTGTTTGTTTAGTTAAATTTACTCCTCGTCACCTAAGTACCATTTTCAACCAGACTATTAACAAGTAAGATAATCATCCTAAATACTGTACATAACAGTCCTTTTTTGTTCTTGCTACAATATTTATATTTTTAACTGAAGCAAAAGTTTGTCAACTGTAACCAACATATATTCTTTTTCAATTAAAACAGTAAATTGAAAGAAGTGAAAAAAAAATTAAATCATAGTAGAATTTCAAGGCCAAAAATATATAACAATTTTTTTGCACTTTAATTTCTTTTTTTAGATTAACTTATTTCCATATTTGTTGTATTTTCTTTCTAATTATTAGATAGAAAGCTGAGTGGGGGAGTTAACAAGGCTGGAATCAAATATTACAACAATCTCATCAATGAACTTCGAAACGGTGAATCATCTCACCGTACATGTTCAATGATTGATATGTAAAGCTCTTAAAACATCATTTAATCACTTTAATTTGCTTTTACGGATTATGTATTTATATAAGGAATAAAGTCATTTGTGACAATCTTCCATTGGGATCTTCCCCAAGCTTTAGAAGAGGAATATGGTGGTTTCTTAAGCCCTTATATTGTGTAAGTAAGCAAATTCTAGCGTCCATCTAATATTGTATATAATTAAATACATATTACCATAACATATACAATTTGAAATGTGTGTAAGCAAGCATTTTAGAGACTATGTAGACCTTTGTTTTAAGGAATTTGGTGATCAAGTAAAGGATTGGATCACGTTGAATGAGCCATATTCTGTTAGTAACATGGGTTATGCAATTGGGACCTTTGCACCTGACTAATGCTCTAGTTGGCAACAATTAAACTGTACTGGTGGAGATTCTTCCATTGAACCATATGTGGTGACACACCACCTCCTCCTTTCTCATGCAGCTGCGGTCAACTTGTACAAGGAAAAATATCAGGCATGCTTAATTATTAACTTTTGGTCAGAATATATGGTCCTTATTGAGAATTCTATACTAGTCACTAGTAGTATTAAGTTGCAATAGAAACGGGAATTAATACTTTGAATATGCAGATATATAAAGATTGTCCCTTATTACTTTTGGCTACAAATCATCAACCATAAAATAATGTTCTTGTGCAGGCATTACAAAGAGGCGTGATAGGAATAACACTAGTGTCACATTGGTTTGTGCCAGTTTCTAATGCAACATGCCATCAAAATGCTGTATTACAATCTTTGGATTTTATGTTTGGATGGCAAGTAAAATTGCATACCAACTCAATTAATTAAATGCTAGTTCTAAATATAATATTTAGTACAAGTTAATGGTTGGAATTTCTATGTTTTTTTAAGGTTCATGGACCCAATTACTAGTGTCAACTATCCGCGCGTAGCATGCGCGCTCTTGTTGGAAGACGATTACCAAGATTCACGACAGAACAATCCAAATTGCTCGCTGGATCATTTGATGTTTTTTAGACTAAATTATTATACTACTTTCTATGCAAGCTATATGCCGGTCGCAACAATTCCATAAACGCAAGCTACTTAACAGGTGCTCGCGTTAATCAATCACTTGGTTATCCAAAAGGAATTCATGATCTTTTACTCTACATAAAGGAAAAGTATAATAATCCACTTATTTACATTACTGAGAATGGTAATTATTTTATAGCCTTAATTAATTGCATCAACAATGTTTCAGAATAAATTTTTAGAATGCATAAAGTATACATTATATTAATTGTAGACGTTGATGAGTTGAATGATCCATTACTTTCACTTGCGCAATCCCTTAACGATACAAATAGAATTGACTACTACCATAACCACATCTATTATGTTAAAGCAGCAATCAAGTAAGTGTTTATTAGCATATGATTTGATTAAGACTGGGTGTTGCATCCGCACATTGACATCAACGCATTGTTTCTTTTTTTCTTTCTACTTTTGTTTTTCTGCGGGCAGAAAGGGTACCGAAGTGAAGGGATACTTTGCATGGTCATTACTAGACAACGTTGAATGGAATTCTGGATACACTGTTCGATTTGGTATCAACTATGTGGATTACAACAATGGACTTAAAAGGTACTTAAAATCTTCGGCACACTAGTTCAAAAGGTTGCTCAAGAAGTGAAGAAATCTGATTATAGTTATTGTTCGTATTGCTTCCATATTTGTATTTCCTTCAATAACGTGGAAGTTGTTAGTGTACAATAATGTGAGTGAGGGGTGTCAAATTTGTATATACCAAATTTGAATCCCAAGACTATGAACTATATTATAATAAATCACATGCGATATGCAAATATTATTGAGAGTAATTGTCCCATATTGAAAAGTTAAGGAATTTAGCCTGAATTTATAAGGAGTTGGATTACTCCACCTATTGCCAATTGGTTTTAGAGGGAAACCTCAACTGCCTTCAAATATATCACATATATATCATAATCAAGAACACCTCTACCCTCATTACAGTTTCTCTGCTTAAGGGAATACTATATAGCCACTCTTACAAAACTAAAGCATCAATTTGAATCATATCTGACAGTATATATCCGGTACTTCTGATTTCTTAAACAGTGCGGACAGCTTTCTTGAACATATAGGTAACGTGCTATGAGTATATTTCTTGAACCAAAAAACTTTTGAAATCTCAACTCTTTTCGAAACCGGCCAAGTTTATCGGAATGGTTAATCTGTAGGTGCTGGCCTGTACGTACACACCTTGCTTGTGCAAGTTTTTATCATATATACATGTTGTAATTATATATATGTTCCTCGTGCTCCTCATGGAATTTTATATACATACAGGAGATTCTGAAAGAATTCCCAAAATCACATGCGATACTCAAATCGCCCATTTAATAATAATCAACACCTTCAAATACATAGTTCCCACAAACCAATGCTCAATTAATGTATATAATATGTGTAGAGAATTTCTTATCTTGTCAGCATTGGGAGATATAACAGCAAGAAAAAAAATTCATAATAATTTTCAGATGCTACGTACTGCTGGAACGTGGAGAATGGATAACAAGCGAATCTGTAATGTATAATACACTTGGATTATATGTTGGCGCTTATGCAAAGGGTATTCTTGAAGGAAGTCGAGGTTTAACCCTAAAATTAATTGACAATGAAAGAAGTAGATGTGTGATATTTCTTCACATTCTCACAATTGTATGGCTAATTAACCAGCCAAACCCAGGACCAATGCTCAATTAATGTATATAATATGTGTAGAGAATTTCTTATCTTGTCAGCATTGGGAGATATAACAGCAAGAAAAAAAATTCATAATAATTTTCAGATGCTACGTACTGCTGGAACATGGAGAATGGATAACAAGCGAATCTGTAATGTATAATACACTTGGATTATATGTTGGCGCTTATGCAAAGGGTATTCTTGAAGGAAGTCGAGGTTTAACCCTAAAATTAATTGACAATGAAAGAAGTAGATGTGTGATATTTCTTCACATTCTCACAATTCTATGGCTAATTAACCAGCCAAACCCAGGCTCAAAGGATCCCTACTGCCAGCTGTGATGTCAGGAAAATAGTTTTTTTAGTTGGATTGCAATAAAATGGTTTAAGATTTGATCACACTTGGTTTTTATTTTATGGGATCTTTCGATATAGGTCCAATTTTGAGTTTGCACTATCAATGCAGTCCACCTCTCTTTTGACGTAGAATTAGGTCCAGCGACTCAACAGGCCAGCCAAGTATGCAAAGCCTTGGCTACTGTTTTTAAAACATTTACGCATATTGCCATTGTACAGTCACTCCTCTAAATTTTATAATAACTGCAATCAATAAATTAATATCATATTTTTACAATTAATCTCAATTTATCAAAAGCTTTCAACCAGTGAATACCTTATGGTGAGGTATATATGTCTTTGGGTGGTTTGATTTACCTGCTTTGCATGTTTGTGTATACCTCCTTCATAGGTAATTTCATATCATATATCTCCTCCATAGTTAATTAACATTCATATGTATACCTCCTCGATAAATAGCATTCATATGTATACCTCCTCCATAGGTAATTTACCTATCCATACCTAATTAACATTCATGTATATTCCTAGTCCATAGGATTGTAAGAAGAAAAAGAAGGAAGAAGAAAGAAGAAGATGAAGAAGAAAGATTATATTTATTTTTTTTGTATCAACACATGTTTATGGGATTTTCAAAATTAAAATGGATAGACAAGAAAATATTTTATAAATTCAAATCATAATTAACTAAAAGGTCAAATATAGAAAATATTTTATGAATTGCATTCAGAATCAATAGTTGCATTAATTAGCTAATTATTTTGATATAAATTAGTCTTTCCCGATTTAAATCATAAGGGCATAATTGGAACATGAAAATAAATTTTAAAAGAAAAAATATATATGATTACATCATAAAATTAGAAAAGGAATGTAATCCTATGTGGCATTGAAGTCAGAGGACTTGGATTACTAACAATATGTGTGTGGATTGCACCCAAATTCTATCATAAGAATTGGACTTATACCAAATTATTTATTTTTTTATTAGGAAAATACTTCATTCATTCCCCGGTAAATAGGAACTCCTACATCTTGCCACTAGCAGTTTGACATGTGTGTAGAAGTTTTTATTTTTGTGTTTTTAATGAATTATTTTTGCACATATGTCAAAATCGTGATTTGCAAGAAGGGGAAGTATCCTTTCAGGAAATGAGGCAAGCAATATAGTTTGAGAATATTATTTTTTTTCCAGTTCTTTTCTCGAGAAGATACCCTCTCGGGAACTCTTCTAATTTAAAATTTAAAAGATCGATTTTCCCATGCACAAAAGAAATATATTCTGCATGCAGATGCAGGTAGAAGCTATAACATGAACTCACTCCAACCCACTCCCTAAAAGATAATCAATTTATTTTTGCATATCATCTAATCTAGCTATAGAAGTGAATACAATCAACAACACCCTCGTATATGTGGTTTCAAATAAATAAATAAAACTTCAAATATATATTTCCCAAAAGCCAATGCTTAGTTTTGTAAATATACAGGTATTTACAAATCAAGGAGCTCAAGACTCTTCCAAACCAATGCTTAGTTTTAATGGTCATTTTATCTTGCTTATAATAAGAAACAAAAACATATTGCAATTTGCAAATGTATCTTATATATATCACGAGACTTAATAATCATTTACAAAAAGAATTTCGTACGATTTGGCAGAACCTGATCAGCACACCCTTTGAATTCCAATCGTGTTTACAAAAACATTATTATTGAATTGTTTATTATATCTATTATCGGGTGAAGTACGTACACCTTCCTCTATATAAAGGACATGCAATATGCAAGGAAGAGCCAACTTACCTAGATCACCAAAAGCCTCAAGTTAGCTATGGCAATGCATTTAGGGTCTTTGCTGTTGGGTCTGGTGCTAGTCATTGGCTTTTCATTGCAAAGTAGCGAAGCTGCTACAGATCCACCAGTTGTTTGTGACTTTCTCAACAGGAGCAGTTTCGAAACAGGGTTCGTATTTGGTGCGGCTTCAGCATCTTACCAGGTCAGTCCATTGCGGGGCTAATTAAATTACTCTTTACTTTGTGGTCATATGATTAATTAGGTTTAATTTACTTTCAATTCCAGACCAATAATAAGCATTCATTGTCTACGTACTCTTACATATATTTGTATATGTGTGTGTGTACATATCAGTATGAAGGTGCTGCCTTTGAAGATGGTAGAGGACCAAGCATATGGGATAACTTCACTCACCAATATCCAGGTCTGCCTCTAAAAAAAATAATCACTTAATCTTTTAATTTGTTTCTTAATTAAAGCTTTCTATATCTCAGTATCTCTGCAGGTGTCATTCTTTCCCTGAATTGTTTTCTCCAAATCCCATGCCTTTTGACTTCGTAAGAGGTTTTGGGGCATCCAAATCATTAAGACCGAAACACTGGTCTATGGATATATAATAATACTTAATTTATCTATTATTAATAAATATATAGTCAAAATTTTCTATGGTTAATTGCAGAAAAAATCGCGGATGGGACCAACGGAGATGTTACTATTAATCAATATCACCGCTATAAGGTTCAAAAATCTCATCATTTGTAAGAAAACATAGGGGCATCGAAGATGAGCTCCTCAATTTTTATTTTCTTTCTTATGATTATATGTACTTGTGCCTTACTATATATAGGAAGATTTGGCAATTGCGAAGAATATAGGGTTGGATGCTTATAGGTTCTCTATCTCATGGTCCAGATTGTTACCAAGTAAGTTGATAATCCTCAATATGTACACATGGCAATTCTGTTTGTTTTTCTTTTTCCTTTTTTGTTTGCTAGAAAACACTTTCCTTGCTCGAGTTAGATCGAGTTATTTCCTTATTTGTTGTGTTTTGTTTTTAATTATTAGATGGAACACTAAGTGGGGGAGTAAACCAGGCTGGAATTGAATATTACAACAAGCTCATCAATGAAACCATTCGCCAAGGTAAAGCATATCTCACCTTAAAAGATTAATGATCGATATGTAAAACTCTTAAAACATCATATAATCAATTTAATTTGCTTTTACTGCTGATGTATACATGTATATATAGGTTTAAAGCCATTTGCAACAATCTTCCATTGGGATCTTCCCCAAGCATTAGAAGAAGAATTTGGTGGTTTGTTAAGCCATCAGATTGTGTAAGTGACAAATTCTATCGTGAGTATAAAATTCATTATTTGATCAAATAAATAGTACCATAACATATATATTTTGAAATGTGTATATACAGCAATTATTTTAGGGACTATGCAGACCTTTGTTTTAGTGAATTTGGTGATAGAGTAAAGCATTGGATTACGTTGAATGAGCCATATACCGTTAGTAACATGGGTTATGCAATCGGGACATTCGCACCGGGACGATGCTCTAGCTGGCAACAACTAAATTGCACCGGTGGAGATTCAGCACGTGAACCATATTTGGTAACACACCACCTCCTCCTTTCTCATGCAGCTGCTGTCCAAGTGTACAGGAGTACATATCAGGTCCGAGTATTATCTTTAATATTGGGCCCTCTAATTGAGAATTCTATGTTAGTCGGTTGTATAAAGTAGCAATACAAAATGGAATTAATACTGTTTTTTTTCTTCTTCACAGAATTAATACTTTGTGCATCAAGATATACAAAGATTGTACCATGTATTTTTGGCTCTAAATTGACCAAACACTAATGTTGTTGTGCAGGCATCTCAAAAAGGCCTGATAGGGATAACACTAGTGTCGCATTGGTTTGAGCCAATTTCTGAGGCACCGCACCATAGAAATGCAGCAACACGGTCTTTGGATTTTATGTTTGGATGGCAAGTATTTATGAATATAAAATTTACTAGCTAGTATAACTTGTATGATGCTCTGTTAATGGTTGGCACTTCCATGTTTTTGTAGGTTCATGGAGCCAATTACAAGTGGCCATTATCCGCACAGCATGCGACTTCTTGTTGGACGTCGATTACCAAAATTCAAGGAAGAAGACTCCAAGTTGCTAGCCGGGTCATTTGATTTTCTTGGACTAAATTATTATACTACTTACTATGCAAGCTATGCAGGTCACAACAATTCTGTAAAGGCAAGCTATGTAACAGATCCTCGCGTTAATCAATCACGTGAGTACAAAATGAAAAACTTAATTGCTTGGAGTTGGAGAAATTGTAAGTTTCATAGAAAAATTAGATTCTGACATTCATATATGGTGTGGCAGCGGAGCTTAACGGGGTCCTCATTGGTCCACAGGTACACATCAAATCAAGTGTTAACTAATTAAGCCATTAGTATAGTATGGATGATTAAATATTATTTTCCACATGCAAATTTGACTCCTAAAAATCTCACATATCTTCCAATGGTGTTTTAGGCCGGCTCAGACTGGTTATATGTCTATCCAAAAGGAATTC